TATCATTGCATCAGTCCCATAGACTAGTGGGTATGGCGTTTCCCCTGTGCTCGTCTTTGGCGTGGTGCGATATGACCATAACACTTCTGGCAGCATTTCTGGCCACAGTCCCTTGGCGTTTTCGAGTTTTTTTTCCATGAATTTCAATATTGTTTTGTTGGAGGATTCCGCCTGAGCGTTGCCTGCGGGATGATATGGCGTTGAGAGTATTCTTTCAATATGCCATTTTTCAAAGAACTCAGTGGTTTTTTTTCCGGTGAATCGGGGACCGTTTTCGCAGCTGATTTCTTTAGGGATGATGAAGCGGCATATGATGTTTCTCCCTATGAACGTGATTACTTCTTGCTCGCGTATTTGGGCGAATGCACCTGCTTCTACCCACTTGGAGAAATAGTCAGTTAAAACTAAAAGAAATCGTACATTACCTCATCCCGCCGGGAGGGGTCCGATGATGTCCATTCCCTATTTGATGAAAGGCCAGGGCGATCTGACTGAATGAAGGTGTTCGCCCGCTTGGTGAATTATGGGGGCATATACTTGTCATTGCTTGCACCTTTTGACGAATTCAGCGGCTTCCTTTTTCATCGTGGGCCAATAGTAGTCTGCTCGTATGAGGCATCTGACGAGAGCTCAGTTGCCAGTGTGAGCTCCGCAGTGGCCCTCGTGTACTTTTTCGAGGACACGCCGTGTCTGATTTGGTCCTAAGTACTTTGTTAGGGGACCACCAAATGTTCTTTTGTACAAGTCGCTATTGACGATGCTATACCTGGCCGCCTGTATTCGAAGCTTCTTGGCTTCTTTTTTGTCGGGTAGGAGCACTCTATCCTGCAAGTATGAGATAATACGATTGCGCCAGTACCAAGTTAGGTTTATAGTTCATACCTCGATTTGGTCTAGTGATAAATGGAGGATAGTGATCACGTCCCCTTCTTCGGTTATGCTTTTGGTGGCCGCTGCCAGTTTGGCGAGGCCGTCCGCTTCGATATTTTGCGCTCAGGGTATTTGGTCGAGTTGGCATTCGTCGAACTCGGGTATTAGTTTGCAAATTTTGGCCTGATACTTCTATAGCCGCTGCTCCTTAATTTGGAAAGTCCCTATGACCTGATTGACTACGAGTTGCGAGTCGCATCGAAGGATGATTCTCCGTGCTCCGTACTTGAGTGCTAACTTTAACCCTGCAATCACGGCCTCATACTCAGCCTTGTTGTTAGTCATATCAAGGCATCGTATGGATTGGCGAACCATTTCGCCTGTTGGGACCTCGAGCACGAGTCCCAGTCCAGATCCTGATGCGTTAGAAGCGCCATCGGTGTACAAAACCCATCGGTCATGTACTTTGGCGGAGGTAGTGGCGGCTTCCCTTTCGACTTCGGACATTATCTTCCCACTGAAGTCGACGACGAAGTCGGTAAGAACTTGCGACTTTATCGCTATTCGCGGCTGATAGGTTATATCGTGCTCGCTCAGGTCTATGGCTCACTTGGCCAATCTGCCCGACAATTCGAGTTTGTACAAGATACTCCTTAAAGGAAAAGTCGTGACCACCGAGATGGGGTGGCACTAGAAATAAGGTCTAAGCTTCCGTAAAGCTACGACCAGGGCCAGAGCTAACTTCTTGAGGTAGGGGTATCTAGTTTCAGCGTCGACCAAAGTTTTTCTAATGTAATAGATTGGAGATTGCGTACCTCTATTTTCTTGTACAGGACACCACTTACTGCGACGTCGGAAATGGCCAAGTAGACGAGGAGGCGTTCTCCGGGTTCTGCCTTAGCGAGCAACGGTGGCGAAGACAAGTAGGCGTTTAGTTCTTTTAAGGCGTTGACGCACTCGAAATTCCATTGGAGTCCGTTGTCTTTTTTGAGTACGCCAAAAAATTTGTGGCCCCTATCGGAGGACCGCGAGATGAATCTTGACAGGGCGGCTATCCGGTCGGTCAGCTTTTGTACTTGCTTTCTGCTGGTTAGATTTTATGGGATTCCTTCTATGGCCTTTGTTTGGTCGGGATTGACCTTGATGCCTCGTTGTGATACCAAGAAGCCGGGGAATTTTCCAGATGTCACGCCGAAAGCACATTTTTCAGGATTTAATTTCATGTCGTACCTTCTGAGTATGTCGAATTCTTCCTTCAGGTGGTCGATATGGTCTTCCTTTCTCTTTGACTTGGCCAACATGTCGTCTATATATACTTTCATGATCTTGCCGAGTTGATCTTTGAACATTTTGGTCACCAGCCTCTGGTACGTTGCTGCCGCATTTTTTAACCAGAACTGCATCACTCTGTAGCAGTACGTCCCCTGATGGGTGATGAAGGTAGTTTTTTCCTGGTCCTCCTCCTCCATTAGGATTTGGTTGTAGCCTGAGTAGGCATCCAAGAAACTCATCAGTTCTTCTTTCGTTTCTTCGGTCTTTCCTAGATTCCATTTGGATCGAGGTCAGACGTTGAGTAGGTCCGTTGAGATCATTCTCGTCGGCTCTCACCTCGGTGCAATAGGCGTTATGTATTTCTTCTCACGTGGTGGGAGGGTACTTCATTAGTCTACTCAATAGTTTTTTGGTTGCCCTCGACCCGCTCCTATTCAGCCCGTTTTGGAAAGCTGCCACTGCCATCCCTTCTGATACGTTTGGAAGGGTCATTCTCACTCTGTTGAACCGGGCGAGGAAATCCCTGAGCCATTTGCCAGGTGACTGTCTGATGGTGAATATGTCATTCACCCTGGCTTCCGCTTTCTTGGCCCCTACATGTGCGGTGACGAATTTGTTGGCCATTTCTTCAAATGTCTGTACGGACTGTGAGGGCTGTTGCGAGTACCATGTTAATGCTCCCCCGATTAGGGTTTCACCAAACTTTTTCAGCAATATAGATGGCACTTGCTCTTTAGCGAGGTCGTTTCCTTTCACTGCGGTGACGTAGTGGATGATGTGATCCTCAGGGTCTGTCGTGCCGTCATATATTTTCAAGTATAGCAGCATTTTGAAAGTTTTTGGTATAGCATGTGGCGTGGCCTCGTCACTATACGGTTGTTCCAAAAACCGGCCGGCGTCCCGCTTTGGTAAGAGTTTTGGGGTTCCTAGTATCTTATCTACCCTTTCTTGATGCTCTCTCATTTGGTCGAGTGAGTGCTTTGTTCTTGTTCTCCATCTCCTCCATCTTTCTAAGGATGGCAGCGAGGGCGTCGTTACGTACATCATTAACAGAGTGAGTGATACCTGTCGAGGGAGGTTGGGTGTGTTGCTCATAGGTTGTTGTGGCGATATCGACTCGCACACCCTCTCTGCTCACCCTCTAAGCGGGTTTGTCGAGTATACTGTTCAACATATTTGTTAGCCATGCCTCTAGTAACTTTTTTACAGCTGGTAGTGCTTCTTCCGTAGTGGATGTAGAGGCTCCCTTCCTATGAGAAGCGGTAACGCTGCCGTGGGGGGGGGGGGAGTCACTTCGCCTAGGTGAGGCATTTGGTGTCACGTTCTCCTCGTCCTCTCCGTGAGTTTCATTGATGGTGTTTTAGGAGATTAGTAGTAAGGCCTACCACTGCTTTTTAGTCTTTCTTCTCCATTTCTTGCCATGCTAGATTATGCAAGTAGGGGAAAGAAAGTCCTATATTTTGCTATTAGTACGTTTATGTAGATCTACAAAGACTATGATTTTGACTAGAAAGTCCCCACAGACTGTGCCAATTTATTTGACCAAAAAGTATAGTAGTCTTTGTTAAACTAATTAAAAGATAACTGAGGTTAAAGGTGAATCCTAGTCAAGCATAATAATTCTTAGATCTAGCTTAGAGTTTAAGTGATATCGTTTACCTAGTGCTCGGAGTCGTATATTCAATCATTAAATGCGCACTTTAGAGAATAAATGAAGAATGAGTGATGAGCAATAAATATAAGAAATGGCACTAAATGTAAATAAGAAGAACAATTCACCCAAATATCAAATGATGTGGAAGATTCTTCCTTCTAACAGCGAAATATGGCAGTAAACAAGAATATGAGCAATGCTTTCTTGGATCATGTGAGTGAAAGGGAAGAATAAGTGATAAAATCAATCACTATGGAAAGGTGAACTTTGTATTTTCTCTCAAGGGTCAACTCCTTACAATAGTTTTCTCATAATCAATCTCACGTGCCCTTTATCTTCTCCCTCTCTTTCTATTTATATGAGATATTCTCTAAAAAACCCTAAAAAGTACAACAAGGGGAATATCTAGGAGAATATTCCTGTCACTAGTTCCAAGACTACACTAGCCGTTATTCCCATTCTTCGCTACCCGACCTCGACCTTACGGCTTGCTCAGCGACTGCTCGTTGTTGGGCTTTGGCCGACCTTGGCCTATCCGCCCAAATCGGAACACAACCTTTTCACTTAACGACCTTCCCACACCCAACTTCATCAGCAAGATTTTGACCCATACAGTTAGTAGGACAACTATTGCTGAGCACTTAACTGTCTCATTTTGCATAATTATTACTACTACCATTTTGAGGCTATTGTTCTTCAATAACATTTAAGTATTTTAGTTATACAGGTTATGATTTGAAGTAATTTTTGTGTAATTTTTAAATATATAAACTTTATTCTAAAAGTTTCATGATTGTTTATACTCCCTCTGTTTCATATTAGATGAGATACTTTCCTTTTTAGTCTGTGCCAAAACAAATGACACATTTCTAAATTTGGAAATAATTAAACTTTAAACTCTTTCATTTTACCCATTTACCCTTAATGAGAAGCTTTTATAGCCACACAATTGTCATGGCCCCACAAACTTTTTACCCCTTAAGCTTTAAGACCACAAGTTTCAAAAGTCTTCTTCTTTTTTCTTAAACTCTGTGCCGAGTCAAACTACCTCATCTAATATGAAACGGAGGGAGTATAATTTAACTATCGCACTTTGAATTTCATCATTTCTATTTGTTTCGAACAGAGAGATTATCTAGCAAGATATTCGGAGTCTGATGTAACTTTTTTTTTTTGCTAAGAAGGCTTTTATATTAAAACATAACTAGTGCAGTACAAGGTTTGGAGCTGAACGTAGAGTTACAGTTCCTATTACATCATTAGCTAAAAGTGGTAAAGCACAAGAAGGTGGTGCATCAAAAAGGATAACATCAGTAGATTGGAAATATTTGGTTGTCTTCCCATGCTTGGCTAGTACATCGACCACAGTATTGCCTTCCCTAAATGTGTGTTGTAGCTGAATCACCTGGAGATCCTGGAGCATCGACCTGCATGCAAAAATGATATGTGAGTATTTTAGTGGGGTGGTATTTAGGATGTGAATGAGTACCTGAGAGTCCGTTTTCACTTGTAAGGATCGTAAATTGTGATGATGGGCGAGTTGTAGCCCATGGTATAGGGCAAGCAGTTCAGCGTGAAGAACATCTTTGTGGCTCAATGGTTTAGTAAAACCATATACCCAAGCACCAGAGGCATTATGAAAAACTCCAGCAGCACCCCCCATGTGGTTATGTTGATCAAAAGCCCCGTCAATATTTAACTTATAGAAGCCTTGGGGCGGGGGCTGCCATTNTATGGAAGTGCAGGTATGATCTTGTGTTTTGGATTCACTGAGGTAGTGAGGTAATAATATTGGGCTGCCTGGTTGTATACATTAAGTGGATTAACATTAGCAGTTGCGTTATTGAAGATTTTATTATTATGATTGGTCCAAATATGCCAAAAAGCAGTGGGAACTAGAATATAAGATGGAATTGTATTAGTATTAGTGGGGGTGGGCATGCAGAGTTGTTTGATTCAATTGAGAGTGATTTGTGGTGACAGTGGAAGGTTGAGATACTGCCATATGTCATATACCGTGGCGCAATTAAAAAATATATGAAGAATATCTTCAGGCTCTTGGCGGCATACTGGACAGGTGGGATCATTGGTAAGATTTCGATTTAAAAGAAACGTAAAGGTTGGTAATTTGTGTTGCAGCATGAGCCAAAGAAAATGCTTAATTTGCTTGGCGTTTAAGATGTTTTTAGCTATTAGAATTATGAATTATGAGTACTTTTTTGTGTCATTTTTAAATATATAGATCCTATTTTAAGAAATTCAAGAATAAATGTCAGATTTTCACGAAAGTTAGATACTTTTACGATCACACTTTAGATTTCGTCATTCTACTTTTTGGGTCAATTTAAACTTGAAAATTGTGGCATATCTTTTTTGAAAATTCAAAATTTGTGCTACAACAAATCAATAATCTTTTTTAGCCATCTCATAGTAATATGCTTTTTTCATTACTGCCCTTTGTTCCAATGGAAAAATTATAACTGAAAATGTTTACAGTTACATAATACCTTCTTGGGAAAACATTGTATAATGTACACTTGTATTTAATCGGAGGTCCTCGAAGGGATTGTAATTAGAGTTATACATGAGCCGGGTTGATTCACTTTTATCGAATCTAAACCAAATCAACTATATCGGTTTTGGTTGGTTCAATTTTGTCGGTTTTTTTGGATTTTCGAGTTCTTTTTGTTACATGAATATTATTCAATCTTACTTTGCAGAGTTATACATCATGTTTTGATAAGTGAGTGTATGTTCAGAAAAAATTAACAAGCATATGATCTATTAAATATTCTTATAGGAGAACTTTTTTAGTAACACATGATATTTTTATTTTCTTAGTCTAAAAATAATTTTTCGTTGATGTACGCTTTCAAGCTTATCCAAGTTAATTAAATACAAATATCAATATGAGACCTAAATAATGATATGTTCTATTTAATTTTAAAAATTACCAATAAACTACTATATTTCAAATTCGAAAAAGATAGAAGAGTTTAACAGATCTTGATATAAGAATACGGAAGAAGAAGGAGATAGATGCTTTTCGGTAACACTTGCTATGAAAGTTATAATACAAGTTAGAATCAGCCATTATTTAAAGTAAATAAAATAGATGCACTTTATAATTTTATTAAATATTACATCCATGAGAGTATCATAATATTTTAAAGAAAATTCTATATGAATATAACGGATTGGTTCGGATTCTCTTAACTCAATAACAAACCAAACCTAATCGATTTTGTCTGATGTGATTTATCGGTTCGATTTGAATCCTCCTAATTATAACGTACACTTGTACAAGGAAAAAAAAACAAAGTAAAAAAAAAGAAGCTGAATAAAGGAAAAATCCGACAAAATATGAAAAAAAACAACAACTATATTTGGTTTGGTTTGGGTAAATTTTATTAATTTAATAACCATAATTGATTTAGTTTTATTTAATAAAAAACTCCTTTAAGCTTAATTATATACACCCTTACTTACGGCCTATCCTTTTCTCCTCTTCCGGCCAATGTTCGCCGGCGTACTTAAATTTCCGGCATCGAAAGGAAAATTCAAAATGGCTTTTCTTCCCCTCATCTTAAAAGCTGCACAATCATAAGCTTTCGCAGCGTCCACGTCGGTCTCGTAAGTTCCAAGCCAGACCCGGGAACCTTTTCGGGTCGGGTCTCTTATCTCCGCCGCATATTTCCCCCACGGTCGCCTCCTAACCCCTCTGTAATGCTTCTTCTTTCCATTCTCCACCACCGAAGACCCGTAACCCGAGCCGTCCACTTTTTTGTCCGTTCTGTTCAAACTTGAATCATCAAATATTCTTGTGTTGGAAACAACAGAAGTGGTAACCGATGTTGGGCTTCGAGTGATATTGGGCTTAGTCTCAAAAATAAGGTCAAAATTAAAATGGTTGGGTTTCTGATCAGAGGTTAAAATTACGGGCTGGAAACCGTCGGGAAGAGTAGAGAAACAGATGTCATGATCAAGGCTAAGGCTGTTGACGAAGGATTCTCCGAGGAGGTGTTGGCTTATCAGTTCCAACGTTAATTCCTCGTCTTCTGTCCTTGTCATGATCAATTTTTGTGAGTGCAGTTAAACAGAAAGCAAGAGAACATAAGAGTTAGTTATTGGAGATGGAGAAAGGAAGTGACTAGTGAGGTGGTATATATAGGAGTGTGTGACTTGGGGGTGCACGCAAAATGCAACTATTATAAAAAATAAAATAAAAAATTAAGTGATGGTGAGGGTGCATGCAAGATAGAAGCAGAAGAAAAAATATTTTTACAAATAAAATGCATGTCCAAACACAACTACAACATTCAAAAATTATTTAAAATACCTTTTTTTTTTAAGTTTCAACCAAATCTATGTCGAAACGCTAGCTAAGAATGAAAGAAAAAATTCTAAAATTTATGGTTTAAAATAAGTTATAGATATTTGTATAACTATAAATCATCTCGCCAAGAGTAAAATGAGACGTTTGAGATTAAATTGTTCTAAATATAAAAAGATATTATTCTTTTTGGGACTAACCAAATTGAGCAGTCCCAGCCCCAATTTAGGAATTAGCTAAAAATAATAATTAAAAAGTCATTAAATGTTATAAATAGAATTATATTTAAGGTGAATGTGTATATTTGGAGAGATTATAGGGTTTGTTACTGTGGCATAGTTACTTTTTTCCTATAAATAGAGGGGTTCTATTCTATTGTAATTGATCCCAAATCAATAAGAATTCTCTCTCCCTACTTTTCTCTGCAATACTCTTCTTCTTCTTTTATTGTTTCATAACACGTTATCAACACGAGACTCTAACCAATTGAGTAGAAGCTTTGGGATTGAGCATAATGAATGTCAATTGTTCCATGAACTTCCTTCATGATTAAATTCTGAATTTAAGGTAAGTATTTTACTTTATTTTTCTGTTTTAAATTCTTGACATTCTATAGTTTGATTTTAAATACAAGCAAAGACGATAAATTTTGATTGTAACTCTAATAGAGTTTGAAAGAAATTATAACCACCCAAAGTGATAAAATTTCTATGTCTTTCCATGATCAAAGTCATGTATGATCGTGAGCACAAGAAGTGAAACCTCGTCCCATTGAATTTGCTTCATTCTCATTTCCTTAAGAGAATGTGATAGCAATATATGATAAGTCCGAAAGAAGACAAAACTATTACCGTGAAGGTATCAATGGATGTAGACATGACAATAGACGAAAATATAATCGACATCATTGTGATAATGAGAATAATAAGGATTCTCAAAATAATCCTTCACTCTGTGAAAGTAATATTTGTAATCGATTTGACATGAGATTTTATAAAGCACATATAGATGATTATGGTCCATTCATGATGTGAATGTGACAACATATGATTTATGAATACATATTCATTCCTGGAAGAATATGAACGTGCTAGTGGTAGTGAATATAACACACTCACCTCTAGAAGGAGGTTTGAGATGATATAAGAAAATAATGTCATTATTATGGCATGAATGATCATTGGTCACGTACCTATTACACGCCAAAATATTTTGGTAATGTGATTATTAAAGAACAACATTAATGCAAGAAACATATCTTGCATATAATTTTGACCATAACCATAATGGTATAACTTTCTCTTTAAAAGAGATATTCACCATATGGATGTTGATGAATATGTGGTAGTACAAAATTAATTGAGAGCTCTGGAAGAGCCAATTATTACTATTTTGGAGGAACAAAATTGAGTTTCAATAAGGCATTATGTTGTAGTAAGTCCCAAAGAAACTCATTGAGTTTCTAAAGTATTCGCGAAAGCGGTTAGTTATATTGAGACTATAAATGAAGGAAAGATTTAATATCTTCTATTACTACAACTTGTAGTGGGGTAATATGTATGTGAAAAGTTATCCGCTTTATTCTCCAGTTTGTACTACACAAATAAAATAATACCACAATTGTCACGACCCATTTTCTATAATAGGTCATGATGGCGCCTAACACCGTTGTCAGGCCAGCCGATGCGGAATGTGATTAAGTTCTCATTTTACTTTAGCCAAAGACAGTTATACTAGATTTTCGAATTTAAAGATAAGACCAGTAAAGATCATAAAGTGCTAAAATAGCGATACAACCCCAAAATAAATGTCTACTACTGTGTGTGCCAGAACCTGGGGTGTCACAAGCTACGGGCGACTAGTAGAATATACACAAAAGAATAATACACTATCCTACTGTCTGAATCAGAATAGACAGAAACAAAAAGTACAAGAAAGGACTTCTTCGGCTGCGGATCGGCATGAAAGAGAAGCAACTCACCGTAGAAGTCCCCAAGCGTGCTCACTGATGCGCACCAGGATGATGTCCAGATCCACCTGCCTCAGATCCTGTACATTTAAGTACAGAAGCGTAGTATGAGTACATAAACCACATGTACTCAGTAAGTATCCCGTCTAATCTCAAAGAAGTAGAGACGAGAGGTCGACTTGATACTTACTAAGGTCAAGATAATATAATAATAAAGTGAGATATACAGCATGAAGAATTTCCAATAACACAAGTTTAAGAGAAGAGTCATATTCATGTTCTTGACATAATTAAACTACCAGTTTTCCCTTTTTCATATTAAACAAGTGATCATGTCATATCTAAATGTAAGCATATAAAT